GCGTTGAAGGTTAAAATTATTGTGATAGGCACAGCAGTTCAAGTGCAAATGATTGCAAATAAATAATATTCTGTCAAAAGGTTATCTGTCCTCATTCTGTTGTTGTATTTCGGATAATGTAAGGATTATCCTTTTATGTTAAAAGGATCATTATTACTTCATCGGACCCCTTACTGTCAATTTCACTTTTTGCGTTTTAAGTCATATTTTTAAAACTAATTAAGCAATTCAAAAAAAGGAAGAAAAAGATACATTCTCTGATAAATCCAGTTTACCCAAAGATAATTTCCCGCAAAAAATAATTTATAAATATCAATAAAATGTTATATAAGTATTATTATATATTTTATAAATACGAATACGTAAACAGCATTTTTAAGCATCTTAAAATTTCTTAACATCTTGTATATCGTCTTAATCTTAAAAGAGCTTTTCTTAATTACCTGCCAGCGCGGGTTTCGCAGAATTATTTTACCAACTATGTTAAATTTTAACATTTTTCAAAATCTCATTCTTTACGCTGCCATGTATATTATTTTTTCATCAATATACTAATCAATTGTTTTAGTACTTTAATTTTGTTTTCCTTTAAAGTAAAATTTCTTTTTTAATTATTGTCAAGTTTTTAGAAAGAAAACAGAATTATTACCAGCTAGCTGAGAATTAAATCTTTTTAAGAAATTGAAAATATTCTGCTGATCAAAATTATTCGATGCAGAACATCTGGCTGATTACTAAGCTTACTATTTTTTCGAAAAATGAAAATAAATTATTTATTGTCTTTTTTTTGTTTCTTAAATCAGCAAAAAATAACAGTTAGCTTTGTTTTTTTTAAAATGAGCAACAAAAATTATATAATAACTTGTTCTCACCTGCTAACTTTAAGAAATTCGCCCTCTTAAATAGGATAATGTTGAAAAAATTTGCTTAAAAAGTTTTTAATGTTCTTTCTCAATTTTAGCAGAGTTCAAAAGTATATTGTTATCAGATCGAAATAGACTACAGGTGGCGCGGAACGGCGCTCTCTACCTATGGCAATACTTGGAATGTTTTCACCTTTAGCGTGTGGAGAGTCATAGAAGAAGGAAGTACGTTAGTTTCTGTCATGATTTTCATATAGATTTAAATATTTTAAGTTGGGAAACTATAAGGAACTGAAAACTACATTAAACATAGTTCTAAGGGAAAGCATTATGAAAATTTTAAAAGAATACTTTTATTAATTAAAACGAAAAATAATAATCAACTGAAAAGAGGAGGAGAGGAAAGGTAGAAGGGCCAAACGCATGGAACCGATCTTCTCCCTAGATGGCGTATTCGAGCGTTACGATCTCCTATATCCGCTAGTTTATATAAATTTCACAGATGATTATTTCGACATTAGGGAGAGCTGCAAGATGTATGGCGCTTATACTTGTGGGTTACTGTTTTCGGTGTATTTTAACGCCATTTGGCTCATAACGTGATCATTGTGTTTTAAGATTCCTGCAAACGTAGTATTTGAATACTCATTACTAAACTTAATCTTGCTCCTCGAACAATATGCTAACACTAATGTAAGATGGTGCACAGCTTGCAATAAACAAATGGAAAGAGGCTAAATCAAGACTGCCAAAAAAAAACGATTTATTCAAAATCTAGCAACCATGTCACCTTTTTAACAATATATCTCTAAATAACTAAAACAAATTTTCAGTTCAAACTCACTAGAATTACATAATAACATTAATATCTTATGAAATACGGCAGATTTAAGATCAGAAATGTTCTAATTTATTTCTTTTATTGAAAACAAAATTATCCGTTTGAAAATATCGCCTCGCAGAATAACATGTAATAAGCAGCTGCAAACTTTCTAACCGGAACTAAAGCAGGCATGCAGCTCGAAATTGTTATTGTTTACATTTCTACTGAAAACACCCTCCATAATATACTCTTTTTTTTTAGAAAATATAAATATAAATTGTTCTTTTATTTCGCTTTAAAAAGATAAGAATGGTAATGTTTTTTAATGGTAAATTTAAACGTGACAATGATTTAATTCACCCCAGAATTAAAATCTGTAAGACAACTATAGTTGTTGAAACAGTTAAATACAATTAAGGTTTTAAAATTATTAGAAATTAAACACGCTGTTTTATTTTATTAAGAGCATCAGGAAAAATGAAGAAAAGTAGTGAAAAGCTCCGTTCCATCATACTTACTATTCATACATTGGATCATATAACTTGAGTTGTAGAAACAAAAAATAAACAAATAAAGGGTAATATATAAATTCTATAGAAATATGACCTTAAGTGTACACTAAAACATGTCTACAATGGATTTTGGATCGACGAATGGAAAATATATTTTTCAAAAATTTCGAATAGGGACTCGTTTAGACTAATGGAACCAGGTACCTTGTTCCTCCAACATATCTATATTTGGTTGATGTGACGCCTTAAAATTAAATTATGAAATCAAATAATTATTTTTAATGTCATAAAAAATCATTTACAACTTCATCACAAGATACACTAAATCAATTTATCTGTGTAGGAAAGAATTATGCTATATGAAGTATGAACAACCAGTTTCATTAAAACTAATTTAAAATTACTACCCAAAACTATTTAAATGACTTAAATTCCTATTTTTTATTATTATCATTGAGTGCACAGGAATTTTTCAGCAACCAGGTAAAATACTTATGAAATTTGAATCTTATAACCCTATCATGAATAAATAAGCTTCAAGTCCCAATCAACATTGAATCATTATTAAATTTTCTTTCGTGTAGAAATAAAACTATAAACTTTCATTTACTACTTTTTTTAAATAAAAGTTTCAGCTCTTTATTGATATCGGAAATTTAATTTTTCAGGATAGTTTTATATTTGGTCTGAATTCATGTATACTTAAACAAAACTATGTTTCAATCTATTTAAATTTCACGACCAAAAGTATGAATGTTTTGCTAATTTCATATTATAATATTCGCTAACAAACAATAAACAGTACCCGAAACATTGTAATTCTTAAATTCGTCTTCCTTTATTATCTAATTAAGAATCTTATTATGAAATCAGCGAAAACGAATATTTTAAATTGAATTATTGGCGCTACTCAATTTAAAAGTACTGTTTGTGATTTCACAAAAATACCTTGGTGATCGCAATGGTCTTATTTCACGGTGGCTATGATTTTCTTCGGGTAAGAAGTATTCTAGCTAGTGGGAAAGGGTTCAAAGTTTCGAGATCAACTTTTCATTGTTGGCTAAACAAAAGCAATTGAATAAAAACGTTGTAAAAATGCATTGTCGCATTTAAGGTCTAGTTACCTCAATTGAAACAAAGAAAGAGGAAGAGAAACAAACTTCCATAACATGTCTTTCTCTCTTTATCTATTAAGATAATTAAAAAAATTAATGAATGCAAAAGATATTTATAAACGTTAAAAGAAAAATGTTAATCTTTCAAGATTATAAAAGTAAAATTTATCGGAAAAGGGTCTGAGAGGGTGAGGGAACAGAAAAAGAGGAAGAACTACAAACTTCCAAAAAGAGTAAAAGAGGAATTAACTTCCAAAAAACGAGTCGAATACTACTTGCTAAAACAGTTTAATGAGGACCGATGCCGACCGCCTTTGGTCCTTAAGCAGGGAGATCAAAGTGTTCCCTCGACTTCTTACTGACAGCAGCAAGTGATGCTTGACTTCGGTGCTTAACTGCTAACCATGCGAATTCCAAGATGCGAACAAGAACTTGCTAAAAACTAGACAGATAAAAACTAGAGCGCATGCGCTGCCGTCATTTTTTGTCCAAGGGGGTTGCCAGATGATACACCGAAATTGGGGCCACTCGCTCATTTGGTGTTATTCTGAAGGTTCTGTTATTCTAAGAGTATATACTTAAGTATCTGTAATATAAACTTTAAGATTGGAAAGCACATGATATTACAGATTTTTTAAGAAACATTGTCTAGCATCTGAAATTGTTAAAAAAATTAACGTCAATGAAAAAAAAAGACTTAAGAAAAGACTTCAGCTTTTAATAAATGCCTTAAATAAAATATAAAAATTAATAATGATTATGCCATTTATTTCAGAAATAATAATTAATAAAACAAATTATATAATTTATTATTATTTATTACTTTTTCAGGAAAAAATTATCGCATATTCAATATCGCGGTATTCTTTATTTCAATAAATTGTAAACAAAAATTTTCATAATTAGTTGAAATTTAAAAACAAACTAGCATTTTATATATTTGGTAACGAAAAGTAAACAAATGCTACTTTGTAACGCGCCAACATGTCAAAGTAATATCGCCAAACTTTGCACTTCTGAAGTTTTGATAAAAAGATGCTCAAATCCTAAAATTTATAAGTAATTTAGATAGAAATTATGTGTATTAAAAGTAAATACATTTATTCTTATCTAACCATCAGTTATTTCACCACCTTGTTCTCTTTACAATGAAATAAACATAACTTTATATGCACGCAAGTAAGTGATAATAAGGATAAATTCGAATAACTAACAACTATCACATTTTCAGCCATAATTTTAACATTTACTGTAACTGTGAAGTTTCTTATTGAAAAAAAGTAAGTAATGAACTTATTACACGCATTTATTAATACAGAACATAAATTTTTTGAGTCAGATAATTTTCACTCCGTGTAATTCCAATTCGCGATCGCAACACTCGAATACGCCATCTAGGGAGAGACCGGTTTCATGCCTTTAGCCCTTCTCCCTTCCCTCTCCTCCTCTTTTCAGTTATATAGGAATGTACTACGATATTTTCCCTTTTATTAATATTTTTCCTTTTTACTTAATAAAAATATTTTCTAAAAGTTCCGTGATACTTTTCTTTAGAACTATGTTTAATGTAGTTTTCAGTTCCATATAGTTTTTCAAGTTAAAAGATTTTAATCTATATGAAAATCAAGAGAGAAACTAACGTACTTCCTTCCTATATGATTTTCCACATGCTAATGGGGAAAGCATGTGAAGTGTTGCCATAGGAAAAGAGTTCTGCTCTACGCCACCTGCAGCCCATTTCGATCGCCAATGGCGAATTTTCGACTCTCGCCTCCGGCGGTAAAGTTTCTCCCTTGTCCATACTCTTTTACTTTAGGCACTCTAATAAAAACTAGAGAAAAATTCTCAAATCAGGTTCTTCGTATCCTCTTCGAAATCACATATGCGATTTTTTGCAATGCAGTAAGAATGCTCTTTTAAGAAGGTGATAAGCTTATGTTCATTAGTCATAAGCTGTTCCAATTTCCTGGTGATCAGGTGAATAGAAATAAGCAACCAATAACGTAAATAACTTTTACGGCCTATCGCAATTACGCAATTGCTTGTGGAAGAATTCTTTACTGAGATGAACTAAGTTATAACAGACTATCTCACTTATACTGAGGAAGACTTTTATTAACCTCATTTGTGTAACGGAACGCTTTATTAAATTGTTTTGTCTTTATTCATTACATAATGTCCTATTTAAATTTCAATGATGTATTCGTTCAGGGGTAGGAGAGGTAATAAAACTCACTTACATATATTCAACTATATAAACCTGCATATTGAAAAACCCTGCCAATATAAAGTAAATTGCTTTCATTGTAATGGAAAAAATATAGAAAGTGCTTTTAAAAGGTTATATCCATGCAGATCTTATTCATATATTATCTTTATACAAAAAATAAATGTGGAGGGAAAGGATAAAAAAAAATATTTTCTTCGGAACAGACAGTAAACAGATTATGTTTCCTGAATGATTTATATTATTATTAAGCTATTCATGCAATGTGTGTTAAATGCTTCCTGACAGAAGGAAGAATTATTAAAGACAATATCATTTTATGGGATAGTAACATTCTATGTTCTAACACTACCAGCAAATAGTGTCTGTGTGTCATAGTGGTAATGATGTTCTAACACACAAATAATTTCATACAAGAAAATTTAATGTTTGCAGTGAGTTGGCTTGTGAGTTTCCAAGTGTAGTTTCTTAGTACTCTGGTAGTGTATGTCATATAATTTTTTAAAGCAAACAAGAGTGACCAATAGTTAATACTTATTTATATTAGCTAGAAATTTATTTCTTGCAGTACATGTAATCAGAATTTTTCATTAAATTGTTCATATTTTTCTGCTCTTATTTGAGATACTTTGTTCAAGCAGCATGGGCGAAAAATGTTTTTCTCAGAAAAGTAAGCTTATTGAACATAGTGTTATTCATCCTGTAAGAAAAGCTTATTCTTGTAGCATATGTGATAAAAGTTTTTTATGTACAGGTAATCTAACTTCACACTTTCGTATTCATACTGGTGATAAACCGTATTCTTGCAGTGTATGTAAAAAGATATTCTCACGAAGAGATGCACTTACTAGACACAGTCGTGTTCATACTGGTGAGAAACCTTATTGTTGTAGTGTATGTAATAAGAATTTTTCAAAAAGAGGTACACTGACTATTCACAGTCGTGTTCATACTGGTGAGAAACCTTTTTCTTGTAGTATATGTAATAAGAGTTTTTCAGACAGGCGTGGACTGACTATACACAGTCGTGTTCATACTGGTGAGAAACCATATTCTTGTAGTGTCTGTAATAAGAGTTTTTCAGGAAGAGGTACACTGATTGTACACAGGCGTGTGCATACTGGGGAGAAACCTTTTTCTTGTAGTGTATGTCATAAGAGTTTTTCAGACAGACGTGTACTGACTATACATAGTCGTGTTCATACTGGTGAGAAACCGTATTCTTGTAGTGTATGTAATAAGAGTTTTTCAGACAGAGGTACACTGTCTGGGCATGAACGTGTTCATACTGGGGAGAAACCTTTTTCATGCAGTATATGTAATAAGAGTTTTTCAAAAAGCTGTAATTTGACTGAACACCGTCGTGTTCATACTGGTGAGAAACGTTTTGTGAGAAACTTTTCTTGTAGTTTATGTAATAAGAGTTTTTCAGAAAGGGGTAAACTGACTAGACACAGTCGTATTCATACTGGTGAGAAACCTTATCCTTGTAGTATATGTATTAAGAGATTTTCACAAAGAGATGCACTTATTGCACACAGTCGTGTTCATACTGGGGAAAAACCTTTTTCTTGTGATATATGTAATAAGAGTTTCACACGAAGAAGTTCACTGACTGTACACAGTCATCTTCATACTGGGGAAAAACCTTTTTCTTGTAGCATATGTAATAAAAGTTTTTCAAAAAGATGTAATTTGACTGAACATAGTCGTGTTCACACTGGTGAGGAACCTTACTCTTGTGTTATATGCAATAAGAGATTTTCAGATAGAGCTCATCTCACTATACATAGTCGTGTTCATACTGGTGAGAAACCTTATTCTTGTGTTGTTTGTAATAAGAGTTTTTCAAAGAAAGGTAATCTGACTAAACACATTCTTGCTCACGCTGTTTAGAAGCTTGCATTTGTAAAAATAATATGTTACATAAGGACTATCCAGGTAATCATGCTTGTATTCATACCTGTGAAAAACTTCATCTTTGTAGCATATGTAAAAAGAGTTCTTTTAAAAACGCTGACTTCTGTTTGTAGTCGCATTGGTGAGGAAACCTTTTTGTTGTAGCATAATGTAATAAGAGTTTTTATCTCAAAAATGTCCTATTATAGAACATAATCTTTTTCAGAAAAATGATACACCATATTTTAGAAGTATATTTTAAATGAGTTTTCAATAATACTGATCTAAATGTTTACATTGGAGTTCATACTTGCAGGGTTGATTGTGCTCCAGAAAAAATCCAGATTTCCGGATTTTTCACTAACGGTGATCCGGAAGTTTCCGGAGATGGAAGGTTCAGACGTTTCAAAAAATCATTGATCACAAAAGTCTCTGGAAATCAAATTTTCAAAGGTGGCACTTAAAAACACAGTTTATTTTATTTTTAAAGGAGAGCCAGATACTTTATAATCTTATATTCAAGATTAATATTAATATTTTATCAGTAAATAGTTATTATAATCATAAACTCTAGAAAGAAAGACATATTTATAACTTTCAATTACTTCTCCAGGTCGACATAGGTATGTGTAAAATTTTAAACATATTTTAAGTAAACTGCGAAGTGTTGAGAAAAAGAAAAATACCTTGTTCAAATTTTTTTCTAATTTTTCGATTTTTTTTTTCCCCCTCGAGAAATTTTCTTGAATTTTGACTTGGGCTCACAATCACCCCTGTACTTGTGAGGTATGTTATTCTAGTAATATATGTAATAAGTAAGGCCCGGATTTTGATGAATTTTGCATTTTTGGACATTCTTTGTCCTTTAGAGCATTTTTTTTTAGATTTATAGGGCATTTTTCTTTAAATTTTTTGGCGTATTTTGCATTTTTTAAGTTTTTTGTTAATTTTTTCCAATTTTTATTATTTTGTTATTATTTTTTATTATTACACTGGCTTCCAAACAATGAAGAAAATCTATAGGATATTAACAGGTGAAGCAACATCTTTTCAAACTAAAGAATAATTGTCAGTAAGTGAGACCGTCTTTTTCAAGTGGGCACCAATAACATCAGTAGACGTTGAAAGAAGCTTCTCCAGGTATAAAAATTTACTTTCAGACTAGAAACGCTCGTTTACATTTCGAAATATCAAAAAAAAATTTAATAATCCAACGTAATTCTGATGTTTAGTAATATTATGTGATGGAAGTTGTTATATTCATTAAAGTTTTTATACAAAATGAAAATGTTTTGGAGTCAATATATTTTCCTTTTATTTGTTATTTTAGGATATGAAACATATTTTTCAAACTTTAATGAACGAAGAACAAGTATTGCATTGCTTTATATTTTTTGAAATGACTCATAATAATTTTAAAGAGTAAAACATTGCTTTAGTTCAATATTTTTACTTCATTTAAGTCATGTCATGAGGCATTTTTAGCGCAATTTTCACATTTTTAAGGGCATTTTTCGCACTTTATAAGGGCATTTTTTTGCACTTTTTAAGGGCATTAATTGAGACTTTTTGGGTCATCAAAATCCGGGCTCTAGTAATAAGTGTTTCTCAACAAGAACTAATCTTACTAATCCAGTGTTTTCATTACAGAGAAAAAATGGGAGAGAATTTCTAACCCTTTCTCAAAAACTGGGTGAAATTTCAAAAAAATAAAAAAGCATGAATAGACTTATAAAAAGAATATTTATTTAATTATAATATATTTTTAACATCTTCTAATTTCTAAACCATTTAATATTTTTGCTGCATCATCATATGGAAAATGTTCTATATCTGCTTTTTCATCAGCAATTCTCATTTGGTTGCCCAAATGCTCATCAGTCAATCTGTTACAATATTTTTTTTTAAATTCGGTTTTGGGTGGTAAATGACCTTGCAACAGATGCTGAACTATTCGGAATCACTAATTAAATTTGTAGCATTGTGCACACACTTTCCTATCCTCTACATCTGCCAGCATAGGCTTCTCAATTATTTCTGTTTTAGAATAGTGAAGTCCGTTCAAGTTATTTCCATGTTAGGTCTTCCAGCATAGTTTTCACAGACTTCAACTTTTACAAATTGCTGTAAATTGTCGGTGGGGGAGTTTGGTAATTCATTAACAGCTAAAAATAGACCTAACTTTAAATAACTTATTATAAAGGACTAAAAATAGTAAATCATAATTAAGTTTTTTTTTTTTTTAAATTCCAAAAACTATTTAACTACATAATTAAATTTAATAAGGTAACAAGCAAATGTTTTTAATGTGTCATTTTTAATAGCTGCCCAGTTCATGAATATTCCTTAAATAACTTTTTTGATGTAAGGTCTTTATGTGTAAGTGTGGGATATCAATTTGTAGTGTACTACTTTTCTTATAACGGTTCTGCACATTTTCAATATTTTGTTATAGATATTTTTATTTCTTCTATATGCAATTGAAATAAAAGGCACTTTATTTAATTTTATACTTAAACTGTGTATTATGACATAGTGGATGCAGAAATAAAGTTTAGAAATATTGTCAAAGATGTTTTTTAAAATTTATTATATTTTGTAAAATTTCCATATCTTGTACGTAATATATCTATTTTTTTTTTTTTTTTTTTTTTTTTTTTTTTTTTTTTTTTTTTTTTTTTTTTTTGTTTACATTCAATTAAAAGGAAATGCCTTGACTTTAAAACTGTACTTGCAAATTTCTTAATGAATTAAATTTTAAAAGTTTGTAACAGGCATTTTATAAAATTTATTTGTTATTTTTTAAGAATTTTTGAAAACAAATTAGTGTTTTAGGAATTATAATAATGTTCATGTGAAGTGATTTTTCCTCATTTATATGCAAAGTATGGATGTTCAACTTTTTTTCACAATCACATTTCTATTGTTGAATAACCTAGCTTTTGTTGTATATGTAATAAAATATTGTCACAAAATGGATAGTTTTTTTTTTTTGCTCATAGTAATTTTCATTATGGTGTGTGTTTTGTACTCTATGTCAAATAAGAATACTCAGCATTATGAAAAACTTAAATTTATAAGGCTGAATAATCTAACTTTTTTTGTATGTAATAAAATTGCATTCTTGTTGTTTACAATCGCGTTTACTATGATGTGATTTATTGTAGATTTTGTGTCCTACAAAAAGCATTATGAAAAATTGAATAATCAAACTGTTGCACTCGGGTGAGTATTGTATTTTAAACAAGTATAGCTAATTGTCTCATCTAGTGGCGGACTTATACATTCAATGTATGTAGTAACCTGTGACAACAGTTACTAACTGATATTATTAATCATTTTAAGCAGGGTTGGGGTCTTGGACATCCTAAACTGGTTTTGGACAGGACACGTGGGTTTTACTGTCCTAAACTGGGAAAAACTGTCCTAAACTGGGTAAAACTGTCCTAAACTGGGTTAAACTGTCCTAAACTGGGTTAAACTGTCCTAAACTGGGTTAAACTGTCTTAAACTATCCAAAACCTTGAATTTTGGGAAAAGGTAAAAATTCTATAGATGTAACCATTGAACACATAATAATTACATGTATCAATAAATATTTGATATATTTTATGCAATTTACTTCAACTTATTAAAGGAAAATAATATAATATAATAGGACAGGGATGGCGAACCAATGGCACGCGTGCCATTTATGGCACGCGACACAATATTTTGGACACTCCACCGATCGCAATTTTTGTTACACTATGAATTGTTGTTACACAAATGTTATTACGCTATGAAGCATATGTAACAATTAAATTAAAATTCACAAAGAGCAAACAAATAATAAACAATTATTAATAAAAAAATTAATGCTAAAAAACAATTATTAACAGTAAAAAACAAGCTAACAATAAATAACTGGCAAAAAAAAATCAACAGTCCTGCTTAAACTAACATCTTACAANAGTATGTTTTTCGTATAAATCTAATCTGCAATAACAGAAGTCACACTGATGTTACTTTAAGTTGAATTACGCGTATAACTGAGCCAGTGCAAATTTTTTTTTTCAATGTAAATAAAGAGTTTTGAGTTGATAATATTTAATATTATTCTTTTCCCAATAATCACAAAGTCAAAATTATTTGACGGCACGTCTATGACCTCATTAAGCAATTTTTTATAGAAAATGGCACGTTGGTGTATAAAGGTTCGCCACCCCTGTAATAGGAAAAGGTTTATAATTTTTGAAGCTCCACAATTCATTTAGTGAATACCTAATCCTTTAAATATAAATATGTTTTTAATACTGATAAGTAATGTTTTTGCATAAGAATAAATAATGCGATATTAAAAAATATACTTTTTTTAAAAAAATAATAAATTTTTTTAAAAATTAACCTTTCATTTTTCACAATATTTTTTTTAAAAAATGGTATAATTTCTGCAGGATAGAAAAGACATCTATTTATAAAAAAAAAATGTTAAGATATAAATATATTAGTTTAAATTGGATATACAAAATAACTGAAAAATATATTAATTTTGAAGAGCATAATATCAATTTCAGTTACTGACACTGGTGATGAATCACCACTATGCTAAAAGAATTGAACATGAATGAAATAAAAGTATTCTTGAATAGTACTATAGATAAATAAACCTGTTTATGACTAACCAAGCACTTAGTCCCTAATAGCTTAACCTGTATGACGAGGTCAAACTTCAGTTATATACTATTGAATGAGAGGACCAATTGAACTTGATTACTGATTAATCTTCCTTTGTTTAATGCTTAAATTGAAGAGTCAAACAATATTAATAAAACATTCTACTTTCAAAAACAAATATTCTCTAGTATATTTAATTATCAATGTGTTATTAGTTGTATGTTTATTTTACCTTTTAAATATTGTTCAGATAAAATTGTGACATAATTTGAGTAAAAGGGTTTTGGACGAGGGGTTTTTGGACAGGACGGTTTAAATCGTGGATTAATCCATTCTGTCCTAAAACTTACCAACCCTGATTTTAGGTTTACCAGGTATGTTCTCGAAAACTTTTGATTTTCCATTTGTTGAATAATTATTTTCAATCTTTGTTGATTGAAAAATGATCATAAATCACTCTTAAATGACCATAGTTCTGAATTTAATTATCAAAAGTATTGAGTACTAGCCGCCTTTAGCTGCCAGCTAGATCACATTTTAAAATTATTTTGTACAACATACATTACCCTATAATATGAAAGTGTCTCTTCCAATACCCTATAATGGAAGAGACACTTTCAGTTTTTGAATTTTTTTTTAAATTTCTAAAAAAATACTGAGAGGATTGTTTTGTAGTTTAGAGGTGTTTAGGTCATGCAATTTCTCATACTTATCAATAAAATTCAATGCTTTCACAGGTTGAAGGGACAGGCAATAAATTACAAACGTATTTTTGAACACCCCATGACATGAAAATACAGAAATTATTACTCTTT